TCTTGAAAGAGTAGCATACCCTATTTCCTCCTCCTCCTGATGGACTTGGAGTTCTCGTCCTCGGCGTAAAGGGTCGCTCTGGAGTCTTCTTCGAGTGACTGAATGGGCACTTGTCACCATTTCGACACCCTGCATCTGTGAAATGGAACTTGCAGCGGATTTGCTTCTTGCTCTTGTCGCCTCTGTTGTCCGCTGACTCACTCCTCGTCTTCTTCTTGGGCTTTGGCTTGGTCTTCGCATGACTCTTCGCTTTGCTCTGAGGTAGTACAGGTGTTGCTTTATCCGGCTTGGTAGGCGAAGCTTTGACCTTTGCGGATGGAGCTGCATTAGGCGTTGGTTTCTCAGGTACCTTGGCCGGCGCAGCGAGCAAATCCTTGCCCTCAAGCATCTGGCGCAAACCAATTTGGGTCTGAGTGAGATTTGATTGTTCTCGTCTCCGCATGATGGTACGATCGATGATCTTCATCAGATTGTCGTACGATCGGTCTTCGTGGTTGTAGGGCAAGTGGTCATAGTGCATGCCCAAATCCATCTTCATTGCGGGCGAGTCCTTGATCTTGCTGTGCAAGCAATCACGGAGAGCTGTCTTGGATGGTATGTCTTCTGGTCTCATCCGTCCAAGAACTTCCAACCATGTCTGCTTGAACGTATGAAGTTTGTTGTCGCCTTGGTACTGGAGCTTCACCAAGTACTCGAGAGTGATGATCATGTCGAGACGGTCATGCGTTCGAAAACTTTCATACATCATCGCAATGATTTGTCGTCCTTTGATGATCTTCCCTTCGGGCCTGCTGATGTAATCGTTGGCCTTCCGGTTCACCTCCAGGTACAGATCAGCGGATTTGTCACCACCAGCGCGTAGCATTGCGACCATGGCGACTCCCAATTTGACGTCTATGCTCTTGAACTTCTTGTGTCCTGAATCGTTCAGTGCTTCGACATCAGGGAATGGATTGAACGCTGGTGCCAGCCATAACATCCAGTCCTCATGATTTGGGTCGGCTGACGCTCCTAGGACATTCGCCGTGCATACTGACCGCCAGTTGTTCAGGTGAGTGAGAACAGGCCATGGAGGGACTGTCACTTTATCGGCCTCTCTCCTGGAAATTCTCACCTCCGTGACCTCAGGATCTGCGTCTCCGTCAGGATCACGCGCATGAGGGTCAGGATCCGGTTCAGGTTTGCCTCCACCGTTCTTCTTCTTATCATCATCGTCATCATCAGGCGAATCTGGAGGGTCATACCCTGTGCCGGCACCTTCGTCTCGCTCTCCATCTTCGTTCTCATCGCCAGCTTCATCACCGTCATCGTCTCCATTGTCTTCCTGCATCGTTTCAGCGACTAATCTCCACTCATCACGATCAGCTCTGAGACGTTGTTCGGCTTTCTGGGCCTTGAGTACTTCGCTTCGCAGATCAGCAATCTTCTCTTCGTACTGTTCCGCGACCTCTTTCTCGATCTGACGTCTCCTTGCCTCATGGATGGAAGCATCGTAGGTGACAGGGGTAGCCTTTGGGGCACCATTGGGGTCGTTGCCCCTCATAGATGCGATAATGCCGTCGATACCAACAGGTCTTGAAGAGCTGGCAGATGCTGTGGACTTCGATCCCAACATCCCGCGATCCTCCAAGAGTTCACGTAGCTGTCGGTCACGTACGGCTGCCGCATCACTTTGTCCATGAAATCCGCTTGGTATGCCAAACAGAGTGGCTGCACTGGGCGTGGAACGCGCATGTGCTGGACTGCTAATGCCTGGCACGTGGTGCTCGGGCATTGCATCCGCCACGATTGGCGTTGCGTAGGATTTATTTACCTCACCTTTGATGTTGCCAGTGAAGAAGTTTCCACCGGTAAATGGGATGCCATCCATCGCAAGGTTCTTGTCCTTGTCCGATTCTGAGAATGCGAACTTCTCTTTGGCGACTGGACTAATTTGACTTGGGGACCGTATTTCAGGGGATCGCACCTCACCTCCTACGGAAAATGCAGGTACTACGTCCTTTCCTACGTGCTCCCAGCCAGACTCAGTAGTCCTCGAAGACATGGGCATGCTCGAAGGCCGTGTCACTCCGCCATGGTAGTTGGAGTTCCGTGCTGCCTCCAATTCGCTGCGTGTCCTCGCTTGAAGATCTTCTTGTGCTTTGAGCGTTTTCCTGAGTTCACTCAGCTCGTCGTGCAAGGTGGGCAATGCGCGCCTTGCATGATCCTCATTCTGATGGAGTCGGTCCTCTGCATCTTGCATCCTCCTCACAGCCATTTTGCGGTACTCTTCCTCCTCACCAAGACGTTCGCGAAGCCGAAGTCGCTCTTGATCAATGGCTGCGCTGTTTCCAGCTAGCCCTTGAATCTCGTTTATGGCTCGCAACTCCTGATTCCTGACCAGGTGGAATCGTTCCTGCATCGCTTGCAAGGCTTGTTCCGAACTTGCTGTGTTCGACCGGAGGAACAAGTTCTCTCTGGCTTGTTCATGAAGTTCATGAGTCAGATGCTCATACTCACGTGCCATAAGCTCACCATCGCCCTGCGCTCTTGCCTCCAACTGCACAAAGTTAGTGGCTGCTTCCGTGCGAAACACATGTAGCTGTTGAGCCAGTTCCTCGGCAACGGCGTGTGCTTGACGTTGTTGAGCAGAGTTCTGTTCATCCATGCGAAACAAAGCTGTTTCATAGTCTCGCTTCATCTCCTGATTGACATTGTTGATGTGCCTCATGGCTAAGCATGCATGGTCACGTTGTCGTTCCAATTCTTCGATGCGAATTCCAGATCCTTCATCCTCTTGCTGCATCTCCTTGATCTTCTCCATCAGGGTCTGGACAACACCTTCGTACTCCTGCACCTGACTTCGATAGTACATCTGCTGTGCAAGATTCGATGCTTCAAACTGTTGCGGAATTGTCAGTCCCTGGTAGGCATTCGGACCATCGGCTATGGCTGGTGTAGTCACCGACGAAGCGTCACCCCGTGCAGGAATCGTGTCCAGAGTCATATCCAGATCGTCAGCTTCGCGTGGTTGATTGGTAACCATTCGATTCCATGTCATGGACTTGTCGCGTCCACGAGTGGCCGAAGTCCTAGATCGTGCTGAAGAGCTTCTCGAAGATGATGGTCGCGGCTTCTTTTCCAAAGTCTTCACTCCCTTGTCCTTTGCCCTCGACGGGGTCCGAGGTGCCTGAAAACCAGACGCTTCGGATCGTCGTTCTGGAGCCTTGCTCGTCCTCGAACCTGTGGATGTTGGACGCGAAGGCGTGGATGCTCTTGGTAGACTCTTTGCTTTTGCTTTGGGAACTGCCTTTGCAATGGCAAGCGCAGAAGATTGACCTTTGTCATCTTCCGTGGAGCTATCAACGGATTGCACCACTGTGTCATCAGCTGTTGACTCACCAACGGCTGGCGCTGCCACATCGGCACCGAAAGTCATTGTCGTATCTTGACTTGATCCCGAGTTCATTGTGGTCGTAGTAGATCAAGTAGTCTTTGCTGCAGAAAGGCAGAGCCGCGTACGGCTGATAACCTGCGTGGGGATTTGATCCTGGTAATGTTCTCTGTCGCTCACCCCACAAAGAGCTGTATTGACTGTTGGCGTGGTTGCCTTCTACAGACTGGATCACCGTTACTTCCACTTCCACACGCGCACTCCTATGCAGGCAGATCCAACGTTCGCTCGTTTTGCACGCTCACGGCCGGCGGTGGATCGTCTGTGCACGGGATAGCTCTGTCCACTCGGAGAATCACAGAAGATTATAGCACTTTAGCTATGGGCAATGCTTTCTAGAGCTTGTGCTCATTCTTGAGCCAAACGTTGCATGGGCGGTCATACTGCAAGGATGGATAGGCATTGCGGTGTGAGCACTACCACAAGCCTACTCCCAGAGACGAGGGACGCGTGGCGTGCCCCCTTCCCTTGCACTTTACACGGTCTTGCTCACAGCTCTTATAGTGACACCTTAGAACTTGACAAGGCATCGCAGTCCGTTCGCATTCATTGATCAATCAAGATGTTAATCAAGATGTCAATCAAGGTGTGAATCAAGTTTGGAACATTCAGGTAAGGCATTCAATTGGTCAGCTGCATTCAATGTGCATAGCAATCATCGAGCGGCTGAGCAGGAAAACATTCAAGGTATAGATCTGTTCATTCAAGACGTCAAGCAGTTGCTACGCCCGGCCCTTTGACAGAATGCCGGTCGGGAATACACTTGCAAACTCCATGGTGGGAGTAGCTAGAGCGATTTACTTCCTAATGCAGGTACACAGATTGGCGTCCCAATCTGCTTCACGGAGTATCCACAGCCGTCTTCGTTGGCAGAAGAACTGTGGACTCCCTGCTGCCCCCTGCTTTTTTGATCAAGAAACGCCCTTTGCTATCAGGGATTCACACACACACAGAGTGATACAGTTGCCATGGCACCTGCAACACACTCAGACAGATAAACACTCAGAAAAGTCCTGGCTGAGGATTCGGAGCGCTTTGCTCAAGAGATCCTCGGACTCGGAGGCGGAGGCGCCGACGTCGGACATGGCTCGCCGTTCTCTCCAACAACTCCGAGCTGCAGTCTGTATGAGCTTCGGAGGAACTTCCAGGATGCTACAGCCATCTACAGCCTCTGGAGCTCGAATTATGCGGCCTATGTCCGATGTCTTGAGGCGACGGAGACAAAGACTCCGCTCCGCCTGGCCTCGCTGCAAGCTCTTGACTTCTTTCGCTGCGGGCCCAAAAGCTGAACCGCCCAGCCCCAGCTGGCGGAAGTTTTCAAGCATACATGGCCAACACGCTTCCGACGTTGGTATTCAAACGATGCACCGGATCATACTCTTGCGGGGAATCCTAAAACACAGTCGTGGCCTCTTTCTTCCTGCGGCCGCGGGCGTAATATCCCGTGAGTCACATGGGTCCCGTGTGTCTTTGGTCTCATGCTCGGAGGAGCTCGAAGAGAGCGGGGGCCACGCCCCCGCGGCCCCTGCGGCCCCCGCGGCCCCCGCGCCCAGCGACGGTGGCTCGTTCAGCCCGGGAGCGGCATGCGCCGAAGTATCGCCATGGCCATGGCCATCGGCAGACAAAGCAAAAAAAGGCAGCGACGGCTCCGGAGCGAAGCGCACGCTTCTCTCAGACGCAGTCGTCCTAAGTTGAGGTTGGCGGAATGAAACTCCGTGGTCCGCGGCTGGTCGCTCTGAGTTCGCGGCTTGGGCTGGGGCCCAGGTCGCGCCGGGACTTCGAAGACCAGCTTGGAGCTCAGTCCTTCGATGCTCTGGACCTCACCAAGGCACCGACGGAGGCGAAAGTGTGGCCTTCGATTGGCGGTGCGAGGCTCGCACGATGGAGTCGGTGAAGTCCTGGAGGCCCTCGGAGAGTCTTCGTTCGACCGCTTCCTCCCGCCCGACATTCGAGAGCTCTTTCGCCGCGGGCGAAGCCGCCGCGGGCGAAGCCGAACCTGCAAAGCACGGCAGCACGGTGCCGCACGCGGCAGGCGGTGCAGGCCGCGAAGCAGCAGCCGTTTCGATCGCTGCCTTGCGCCGCTCCCAGCTGCTGCTTCCAGTACTCATGCAGGCTCCTAGGTGAAAAAGGGACGCGATTCCTTTGCGAAATTCGACCGCGCTGACTAGCGCCGAGAGGCCGAAGCTCGGAGAGGATCGCTGCCTGGCCAGCCAGCACCTCCAAAAACCCCCAAGGCGACAACGCGACAACGCGAGGGCGCTTAGCGTGCAGGCTTGGCCTCCTTCCGAAGCCGGTCCTGGCTTCGCCTCAGCTCCTGCACCGCCGCTTCAGAAACCGAGCGCAGCAGAGCGCAGCAGAGCGCAGCAGAGCGCAGCAGAGCGCAGCTCCTCCAGAAGAGCCTCCATGACCGAATCCGAGTCGGAACACTGACGCTTTGGGCAAAGGGCTGCACTGGCCAGGCTGTCGCGGCTGTCGCGGCTGCCGCTTTCGCGTGAAGCTTTATTCCTTCTTGGACACGTCTGAGGAAATCTGGGCCTGACACAGCTCTGGGTGTGGCTTGAAGAGTCTAGGCCTGCAGGGCGGAGTCTGAGTAGGCCGTAGCATTCCGTAGAAACGCGGGGCTCTCTCTCCCCTTTTTCCGAAGAGCCATCGGCGATTTGCGAAGGTCCCGGAGGCTCCGCGCCCGGAGGCTCCGCCCGGCTCCGCTCCGTGGAGGCGGACGACCGTCGGAGCTCGCGGCGCTTTCCGGAGGAGCGCTCCTTGCACTTCGCTGCTGCGCTGCGCTGCTGCGCTGCGCCCTTGCAAACGGGCGGCTGCCGGGCGGCTGCGGAGGCGCATCGGCGGACATCGACACCGTCTTTAGCAATCCAAAGCCATGCAAAGCCTCAAGCCTTAGACTTTGGACTCTCTCGCTTGCCTTTAGCTGCCCGGAAGGACAAAATTGAAAGCTACGGCTACGGCTATATGAGACACTGCGAATTAAGGGAACTCAGCCCAAAACGCTCTCAGAGCTTGGACTTGTTGCCCTGCAAGAGCGCGGCGCCGCGACGCCGCGATGCGAGACAGTCTCGGTCTCTCAGTGGCTCTTTTGGGCCTGGCCTGGCGGATGGCCAGGTCCAGCAAAATCTCCTCGCTGCCCCCGGGGATGGCGTAGGCGCCGACGTCGCGGTACAGTCGCTCGGCCTCGAAGATGCGAAGACTCACAACACTGTGGAGGGCTGCGCTTGTTTGGCCCGCTGCGCTGGCTGTGCGCTGGGCTCCCGGCTCTCTCTCCGAGACCGCTCCGCGTGTAGGCATTGCCCCCGAAGATTTGCCGCGCCTGAGCCGTCAGGAGAAGAGTCAATAACCCTTCCTCTGTTGTGCATGGCCTCGCGTGCGCAGTACTCGAAGATCTTCGAGGAGTGTGCCTCGCGCGAGACAGACCAAAGACGCGATGTCTTGAAATCAAAAAACACCTTCATCAGCGCGATGGGTCCGCCCAGCGTGGTCATCGCTTGGTCCTTGGGCATCCTGGAGAGCCGGATCGTTCGGGGAGCGGTCACGAGCGTCGCGTCACACGCTTTCTCCGTGCACCGGGCTGGCAGAGCTGGAAAGTCATGTTCTCCAGCCAGTGGTGGATTCCCTCTACCTGAGACAAAAGCTGGCTCCGTGCTACAGCCTCCTTGGCTGCTCCCCACCTGACGGGTCATCTCGGCCAACTTCCAGCGTATCACCGGGTGCTCCACGAGCTTCTTCCTATCCGCGGAAGGCCCGACGGCCCGACGTTTACACTTTTCACACCGGCTTGGGCCCGAGCCCAAAGGTGCTTCGCTTGTTTGCAAAGTTCCAGGAGCTGAGCAGAGCAGCAGAGCAGAAGCTGAAGTTGAACGCTTCTGCGCTCAAAGAGTCCCGGGCTCTTCCAGGAGCACGCGGCTAAAGCGAGTCGCCTCTGCCAAGGAGCACGGAGTGCGCATCCGTGCGCCTCTGCCCGCACTCCCCTCTGCCCTCTGCTCCTGAACCACGAAGCCCCAGCGCTCATGGTTGAAGTTCTTCATGATGACACCGAAGCCCTCGTTTTCCTGCGTCAAAGTGTTCAACAACTCCGACCAACACTCCAAAGTCAAAAAAGTCCAAAGATCCTTGCCGATCAAGTTGGCCACGGGAACTTTGACCTTAGCCGCTGCGGCGAGCTGCTCGAGCTCGAAGGACATCTCTCCTCTTGCAACTCTCAACTCTCTTGCGCCTGATCGAACTCTACATAAGTCGTGCCGCTGGGCCAGACCTACGAGTCGCAGAGTCCCAGAGTTCTATGGAGCCTCCCTTGGCGGACTGAGGGCTCGGGCGCCCTGGCAGTCCATCCTCTTGGTCGTGATCCTGCACGTCCCCTGCTGCCACTCTGCTGCCCTTTTAGAGCTCTGCTGCGGGTGCAGCCCGGTCCCTGGCATAGAATCCTTCTCGAGCAACAGCATCGACACCCCTCGCATCCCCTGGGAGCACAGCGGCTGCAATCTCTTAGAGGCCATGAGAGGCCATGAGAGGCGCCTGTCCACCCGTCCGCACAGCGCACGTGAAGTAGTCCGAGAAGATCTGCAGCAGACAGCAGGGCCACCCTCCCTCATCTCTCCCAAGGCCGGGGACCGGCATGGTCCAACGAATGAACCACAACGGCTTGCACATTTCCCTTGAGTTGACTTCGGAGTTCCGCCAAATGAGACTTGGCAAATGCAAACTCCAACCTGTCACGAGCTGGGCAACAACTCACTCTCGGCAGGAAGGCAAGAGCCGCCAAGGAGACTATATAGCGACATCGAAGGCGACAACATCAGACCACAAACCACCAAGCGCTGGACGAGATGAGGACACCAAATGCGAAACACATCTGGTCGTCTGAGGGACTCGACGCAGGGTCTCCACTCCGGAGAGCGTCGACCGGAGCAACTCTTCCCTGCTCAAGACGAGCCCGGCACCCCATTGGTGATCCACTTCTTGTTGCCGTTCACGATGTAGAAATCCCCCTCTCGGACGGCGGTGGTCCTCCACACGCGGCAGCTCAGGTCGGCAGATGTCAGCAGCCCGCTGGGCGCACTTGATGGCTGCCACGTCGCTGCCAGCGGATGGCTCTGTGATGTTCAAAGAGATGATCTTCCGCCTGTCACCCAGCATACAGGTGAGGCCGCTAAAGCTCGTGACGAGGGTCGAGGGTCAATCCACAGGTCGACTCGACCCCATGAGGCAGTCCGGCGCCTGAGAAGGCAGGGCTGCCACAGAGCGACACACGAAAAGACTCCGAGGCGTCTGCCACGCGCTTCTTCATCTCCTCCGTGCCGAAGTTCAGCACGGGCGGCAAGCCAATCTGGAGCCCCTGCGCGCAGCATGCGGGCGCGGTGCGGGCGTTCCCTCTTGGGCACCCCTGCAAAGGTGGTACTGCTAGCATGTGACATGCGTGAAGGCTGTGATGGCTATGATGGCTGCGATGTGAAGCTTTAGCGGTGGGGCTTTGCGGTGCGCTTTGTGCGGCCACTTCGCCGCTTCGCCTCGATGAGGCCCCACAAGACGCCTCCGCTGCCGCACCTGAGCAGAGCTTCGCGAAGCCGCGCCCCTCTTTCTTGACCGAGGGAGGCTCTCTTAAGCCCCCTTTTGCGGGAACGCCCGCCCCCCTGGCCTTGCAAGCTCGTCCACGAAGATGAGCTCATGGAAGTAGTCCAAGTCCTGCAGTGAGACGGAGACGCATTGCCTCGCAGCCTCGCACTCCCATCTCTCGCAGGCCGCATCGAGGCACCAGGTCGCCTGTGGGGCCTCCTTGGGCACAAGATCGAAGGCACCCGAATGGGCCCCCACCACCACTGGCAGCAGACCAGCCTGAAAACGCGCTGCACCCAAGAAACACAACGACCTCTGACTCTGACCTCTGCACACTTCACGTACGTCTCCCGGGGCACGGCCTTGTTCACCTGCGGAAACCGCAGAAGAGGGATCTTTCATCCCTGGCCAAGGCCGAAGGCCTCCCACTCGCTCACGAAGGGCATGATGTGCTCTTCCACGAAGCTCCGACACCTGCCAGCAGCACTGCCAGGCAGCCATTTCAAGCAACTCTCGAGCACACGCAAACGTCGCACCTGGCGCGCCACGCCTCGTTTGAACGGGCGAACGGCGAACGCTCTGTGACTCTGTGGACAGACAGCTCTCCTTGTGCGTCTCCTTGTAGTAGGGGCTGTGGTAGGCCTGCCAGTCCCATGGAATAGAGGCTAAGTCCAAAAGGCTCGGTTCATGCGGCGCACTCCGTTGTACCAGTTCGGGTCCCCATAAGGATTCCCAGCACCGAAGCTCGCCATCACCTCAGATCTGCTAACTCTGCAAACGCGCTTTTCTCGATTGTGCAGAAGCTGCCACGGCCCGCGCTGTCACGGAGCGGGAGCCGAACGCAACGGTGGAAACGGCCCCTAATAAGCAACAAGCTTGAACCCTTCCTTGGTGGCCGAGAAGAGCTGGGGAGCACAAGAAATTATGGAGTTCAGGAAGGCTGACATCGGCAACTTCTTTGTTTCTGAAGCGCAAGCTGCGAGCGCATGGAGACGCATTGCGGGCAATGTTGCCTATATATATACACTAAAGCTGTGGGTCGCGGAAGCCTTTCAGGCTGCGCTACGCCGCTATGCCGCTACGCCGCTGCGCTGGCTACGAGGGTGAGAGAGCAGAAGAGCGCTCAGAGCGCCTCAGTACGGCGCAGATCGCTCCGAGGGAGCTCCCTCTTTCATCGGCCCTGTTTCGGCCGCCGAGGCCCCGGAGGCCCCGGAGGCCCCGCCGGAGGCCCCGGAGGCCGGGGCCGCCGTGCCCCCGGCTCCGGCGGCGCAACAGGGCATCGCGCCGGGCATGCATCCTGACACCAGCCGACGGCACCCCTCTCTCATCTCACACCCGACGGCACCGCTCGTTTACACTTCGGCCAGGTCCTGGCATGCAGCCCATCGGCATTGCGCCCATGCCTCCCGGTCCCGCAATCGCCCGCATGTTTCGTTGTCTTCCCACGTCTTTCGAGTGACACGGGAGGCTCTGAGCTTGTGGCCCATCATCGGGCACCCCCCCATGCATGGCATGCCTGGGAGACAAGTCAAGACTGTAATGTGAGAGAAAGAGAGAGAGAAGACAGAAGACATCCGAGTCGGAGTCCCATCATCGGGCAGCCCATGCCTGACCGTTGACACAACTCGCCGTCGGCGCAGCCGGCTGCGCCGCTTCCCGCCTGCCATGGGGCAGCCGCCGCAGGCCGGGCCCGGGCCCGCCGGGCCCGCCGTGGGGCCGCCTGGTGCCGGGGCTCCTGCGGCCCCCGCTGCAGAAGCCTCGCTCTCCTGCCGAGCACACGGTGCTAGACTAAAAAAGTGATGGTAGGCTATGTCGCTGAGCAGTTTCAGCTCTGCCTGACCGTCTGCCCAAGCTTTCGCCCTACATGCCCGCAATATCAAAGCAAGTCGCACAGCAATCGCAAGCTGGACGCCGCGATCGCTAAACTCTCGAGGAGCCAACGCTCACATGCTCCGGGTCCTCCGCAGGTGCTCCGCTCGTGGCCTTCGCGAAGCAGGCGTCCCTTTCTCCGCAATGCCCACGCCCACTTCACCACCGCCTCGCCGCTCGTGCCGGCTCCAGTCGCCGGGGTGGCTCCCTGCATGCCGGGGGCGCCAGGTGCGCCGGGCATACCTGACAAGTTGAAGACTGCGATCCTGGTGCGCTGAGCCACGGTGAGACCCGCCAAGCCCCGTGCCGCAACCCATCATGCCTCCGCAAAGGGGCTCTCTCTCTCTCTCTCTCTCCACCGCTCCATGCTCTCTGCTTGGACCCGGCACCTGGGCAACCGCAACCCATCATCCTGAGAGAACGGGGAACGATGGAACACAAGGAGAGTAACCATCGCTTGCATGCTCAAGCTGAGTTACATGGGCGGTCGCATCATCATCGGGTTCATCATGCCCATCATCCTGAGCTTCAGCGAGATTCAAGCGCCCTGGGCCCTGGCCGCGTGCCGCCGGAGCCGGGGCCGTGGCATGGGGTTCATCATCCCCATCATGGCCATCATGGGATTCATCATGGAGTCCCCGCCTTGAGCAAAGAGAACATTAGCAAGGCCCGCGGGCCGGAGAGAGTAGACGCCGAGAGGCCTTCCTTGGCCTCGCCGGTCCCGTCGCCCTCATCCTTTGTGGTGTGGGGCGCTGCGGAGAGGCGCAGTGACCCCTTAGCCCTTGGGCCTTCTGCATGGAGGCGGCCTGCTGCAGGTAGCGCTCAGACCACTTCTCCTCGTAGTCCTCCCACTGGGCCCGATTCTCCACGCGCACACACAGACACAGACTCTCCGCTGGTCACCGGTCCTCCTGTTGAAGGTCGTCCTCGTGCTTCTCCTTCTTGCGGATCTCCTCCGCCTGGGCACAAAGCGCCGGCAGGACAAACGTGACAAAAACCCTCAGGCCGCCCCCGGCGGGCCCCCAGGGGCCCCGGGCCTGCTTGCTCCTTTCAGCGTTCTGCGCCTTGGCGGAGCCAAGACGAAAGCAGAGTCTTTACCGGTGCCTGGGCCCGGCAAGCCGGAGCCTTTTTGGACTTCGACTTCCGAGGCGCACGCTGCGGCGAAAGCAGAGCCCCCGTGTGGTCTCACGGCCACCTCTGCTCTCGTACTGAAGAGTGCAACTTAAAGGATGCTGAAAACCATGCCGGCGGCTCCCACTTGTTGTCTATCATGTGGCTGGACTTGGCTTCTATCACCTTAAGGAATGTCGGGCTCCGTCCGGGTTGGTGCGAAATTAGGCACGGCGACCTTGTCCACGGATTCTCTGTCGACGAACTTCACGAAGGCGAACCCTCGAGAAGTTCCGTCGGGAAGTCGCTTGATATCCACGTTGTCCACCTGCCAAAACCATCCCAAATCCAAATCCCAGGTGGTCGAATCGATCCGAGTTCGGCCTGTCCGAACTTGGAGAAGTGGCCAATGACTTTATCTTCTGTTGTGCTTTTGCGAAGGCCACCCACAAAGACCGTGGTAACCTTCCAACCAAAGGCTAGCAGCACGAGCTCACTAGAATTCTGTAAAGCTGCCATCCTGGCATCACCGTCCTCACCTTGTCGTCCTTCCCCCCGGGCGCCTTCGCCCTCTGTGCCTGAAAGAGTCAGAGCGTCAGAGATTTTGGACTCCCAGCCCTCCTGCCCCATCGGCCTGCTTGAGCTTGTCGTCAGCTGGCCTGTGCCAAGGAAAACAGTGCGGACGGGCACAGTCGGCACAGCTCGTGATTCGGTCTCCCACATGGGCATGCCGATCATCGGCCTTAGCACCGGCTCAGCGCCGGCTGGCGGCTGGCGGCTACCAACTGGTACTGTTACAATGCTGAGGAGAAGGCGGCGGCATCGGCATCATCCTTTTGAGAAGGGAGAGCAGTGCAAGGCGCGCCGGGAGCTGAGAAGTTTGCGGTCCTTGGGAGGAACACGAGGTTCCTGCCCCTCCCTCCACGGAACACGCGGCTTCGGTACCCCCCCTCGCCAAATCGCTACGTCCGCTACGTGTCTCTGCCCCTTTTCAACAGTTCTTCTTTCTTCGTTGAGCCGCGTGCCGAGTGCCGAGTCGTGTGAGCACATGTCATGACAACAAGACATGCGGCCATGCAGGCATTGCCCCTGTCCCACAACAAGCGACGCCCCTACTCCTGCCTTTTGGACGCGCTCGCGCGCTCACTTCTTGGCCTTCTTGCTCTGAGCCTTGAAGAAAGTGTCCAAGATGGTGCACAGCTTCCTGTAGCGCAGACTTCTTGGCGCAGGATTGTGAGGTGCCGGAAGATGGGCACAAGCAGTGAGCCGAAACACTTGAAAGCTGCATCTTTGGGAAGTAACATCAGGGGTGCCAGCGCTGCTTTTGCGCGGTCCTGTGCCCGGCCACCAACACAAATGCAGTCTGCACAAAACGAAAGCGGATAGGCTTTCTCCTGCACCGCGGGCTTGAAGGCCGAGGGGTGGAGCTCTTTGCTGGCAAAGGCGGATTCGACGTCTGCAAAGGAGGCGTAATCTTTGTCCTCAGACAGACAGAGAGACAGAGAGACTGAAAAATTCAACAGTGCAATACAGTCCTAGGGAGTATCCCAAGATCAATCACTTTCTCCAGTCACACTCAAGCAGACATTCCTTTGTGCATCCAGCCTCGGTCCAGTCTTGAGCCTTGAGCCAATGCCATTCGGCATCGTAGCATTCTCTAATGCATCAAGAACATTCGGCACATTGGCCTCGTGTCATTTAACACAGTCCCTCGATCTTGACTTCAGTCGAAGATCATTCGAAAACAAACAAGCGAGCATTGGTGGTAACATTCGCGAAGCGATCAAAAGAAACAGTTAGAACAGTCACCAATCCAAGCAGCGAAAGGATCATTGGTCTCATTCCGGACTTTTGGCATTCTCTGCAATCTGCGGAAGAAATCCATTCAACATTTCACGAAGACTTCAAATTTGCAAAGCAATCGCATTCACAAGGCACTCCTAAATTTATGGGCTGCTCAGTGCCTTTTACTTGTGACAGTGCCCTTCGCATTCTTGCGGAGGACAATCTCGGAGCCGGGCTCGAGGGCATTCGCAGTCTGCACCAGGGCAACCCCCGTTTGCCTGTTCATTCGCCTTGGCCTTCATGCATTGGCACAGTGGGATCATGGTGTGTCCCATCAATCGCCATTCCACAAGGGAGTCGCCTCGAGTAGTGGCGAGCATTCCCCACTCGATGATCTCATTCAGCGACAGTAGCAGCTTGGGGCTGCGCACGCACATTGGATCCGTCATTGGAAAGCGGACAATTCCGGCACTCGCTTGGGAGTGCCTCCATTGTCCATTTCCAGTCGCTGGGGCCAGTTCCATCCCACTCGAAGGTGCTGATGTGGTCAGTGAATTGGCGATTACAACAATTCGCCAACTTCATTCGGGCATTGCCGCCGGGTCCTCCGGCGACCCAAAGTCTCATTGCCATACATTTGGTGCGGCGAAACACCACGAAGGCAATCGGCTCTTCATTCTCACTCTCCTCGAAGACGCCTTGGTTTGCCCATTAGCCCATTGGACAGTCTTCCTCAATGCGCCGAAGGCATTGAAGCTGCCACTCAGCTGGTGGCAAGGAAACTTTGCCAAATCCAGCACACCATTGGTATACAGTCCCATTGCCAAAGACTGTGGGAGGCAAAGCCAGTCATAGACATTCACCAAAGCATCTGTGGCATTCTCCTTGGCATAGTGAGGATTGCGCCATTCCACATGCCATTTTGCTTTGGTAAGGACAACCGCTCAGCTTTCGTCATTTGGGTCCAACTCGTCTCAATCATCCAGTTGCTTGGTCCATTGACCTCCGGGTGGATGTTGAGGAAATGCATTCGCAGTCTTAGCGAGCTCATTGGAGCATTCGAATGCTGGCCCGGGTGGTCAAATCTGCACGCAGTCGTTCCACCACTTCTGGTTCCAGGCAGAAGAACACTGATCATTGGGGCAGCGTCCTCGTCCCACTCTCTCTTGTAGAGAGTCTCGCCCAAATTCATTTGGGCACGAAGCATTCGATCGGCGAGATCATTCGCCCTTCTCCACGACAGTGGTGATGTAAAGCGGCAGCAAACTTCACTTTTTCACTTGAAACCAAAGCCTTCAGTCGTACTGGTATTTTGAAAACTTTTGGCTTGAACAAAGCGCCTGCGCAATCCGTTCATTCAGCATGGTTCACAATGGCGGCAACAAAACTAGAGACTACCAAAGCTTCCAGCAGAGGTACGGAAAATCACATACCAAATCATACTTGGCATACTGTACTCCCACCACACCTCCAGATACCAAAATCCTAAGCACCCCGCCAAGTGCATCATTGTGTATGCAGCTCCAAGCCTGCACACCTTGACTGCACTTCAAAGGATTTCGCAAAGTTTCGGGATGCTTCTGATTGAATCTGAGACGCGACGAAGACACTATACATAAATGCCGCCACTGCCACGCTGAACCGGACTGCGCACTCTGTCCTGTCTTTCGGTCTGCCGTGCGGGGACGAACCCCAGTCCAGGGCACTCGAGAACATCTCATTTTGAGATGCCGAAAGTGAAACTTCAAGCTAACTGACCTACTCCACGGAAGCTCGCCAGCAGCATGCTGGTCTTGACAAGGTGTTGCACTGCAAGTCTGACTATCCTGATCGGCGTTGATCAGATGTCTCGCAACCATAAGTAGCCAGCAGCTCAAGTCGGTTAAACACGCTGTTGCAAAGGTCAAGGCTGTACGATGACCAATTCAAGTATTGCGATCCCTAGCGGATCTTGGTTCACGCAAGAAAGCGCCTGAACACACAGTTGGTGTGATGCGGCACGTCTGCATTGATACCACTTCGGATTTACAAAAAAGAGGCGGGTAAATCATCATCGGATTGGTCCAACCACTGATCAAACATGATCAGCTGCACAAGCGAGTTGGAGAAGCAACGATCAGCCCTGGCAGATACTGCAAAATGCCCTCCAAGGGTAGCGCTGCTGCGCCACAGACAATGGCAATGTCTCGATGGCTCGAGAGTTGTACAATGTGGCACACGTTGGTGTTCTGTGCAACTTACGGCCACGTCTCGTGGTGTACACATACGGCTCATCATTGACAACAGGGGGCTCAGCAGCACTGCCGGCTGCATGTGCATCAGGTGGCTCATCAGAACCTCGCGCGGTGCCATGTTCGTTCTCATAGTTCTGAACGTCAGGACCATACAGACTCAAGAAGCTTGGCAACTCATCTTCTGGCTCGGAATCGATGTTGAAGATGTACCTGTACTCTCGAGGGTCAAGGCTGTCCAGCCACTCCTGATATGAAAGCCACTCGACTGCGCTTTCACTCGGCTCAGGCTCCCCAAGAACAGCATCAGGCACGACGTCAGCTTCATGATCATCTGAGGTCAAGGTATCAGCTGCAGCTCCACACACATCCTGGCTCGAAATGCCTGCATCATCAAGTTGGGTGCTGGGGCACGACACGCCCTGCGGCACAAGATCTGCACTCGGACCTGTGTGATCCGGCTCGGCACCATTCTCATTCAAGCAAGATGGTAAGGCTTCGGCACTGGCGCCGTTTGCACGCAAGAAAACCAAAGTGGCAACTAGGCCTAACAACCCTATTGCGGCACTAAGGATAAACCCCGGCAGGAAACCTTGGCTACACCAATCAACCTCTACGCTAATAACCCATCCTAGCCTAAACCCTTGCTGGTCCTCGTCAGAGAGGTCGCATCCACACAAGGTCAAGGTCAATAGCGTCATCAAGCAGGCAATCGACACTGGTGCACTCGGCACTCCAAGGAAGACGCAACCGACAATCAAGGCAACGATTCCCCATGTGGCTGCTGTCACCGTTGGCTCCTCTGACGCAGCCAAGCTCAAGGCGCTGGTGGAATCAATCATCGCAACCAACGACAACACACGCAAAACGTTTGCCATTTGCTGGGGATCTCGGCTCGCCTGCCGGACTGCACGAATTGCAATCTTCAAAGCCTGTCGATCATCATCTGAGCGCACTTGATCAGCGCCGATCAGATCATTCCCATGCTTGGTGTCAACCATGCCAAAGTGGAAGAGCAAGTATGCAACACGCTCGGCACGCAACGACTTTGTCATCAGGTCGGACAGGTTATCCTTGGTAGGCACCGGATGCAACTGAAACGCAGCAGCTGCAAGCTTGTCTTGAAGCCAAAGTAGCTTCAACTGCAAATGCCTGATCTTGCCGCAACCCTTGCGAGCTGCCAACTGGCGGGCACTCGAAGAGTCACAAAACAAATGCAACGAAGGCTGCTCTCCTGACAAGAACTCCAGCGCGGCACCAACATACAACATGTCTGCAGCTCCTCCGACCATGGCAGTGTATTCGGATTCACACGAGCTCAAAGCTAGGGCCTTTTGAGACCGACTGGCGCTCATCAGGAACAAGGAGTTCACGAACAAGGCCATGGCGCTTGTGGATTTCCGGCTGGTCCGACAGCCGGCCCAATCCGCATCGGTGTAACACTCCACGATGTCGCGCCCGGGGCACTGGGCACGCACACCAATGCCCTTCTCAACACGCTGCATCGACAATGCCCAGTCAGCCGTGCTTGTCATGTGGCGCACTAGGTGCTTTAACATCGACCAACAAGCCTCGGTCGGATTTCCAAGATGTTGGCTCAACGTCTTTATGGCAAACTGGCAATGAGGGATTTCGGCCTGCACATACAGAAGGATTCCAACAGCTGTTTTGTACTTTGCAGACTGCTCAGCACTTAAACTCGGCGACTCAACCAAGTCAGGCACTTGCAAAGGCAGAGGCGTCTTCTTGCCAGTACACCCATGGCGGACTCCAGTGACTTCCATGAGCCGCTCAAGGTGTTTCGGATGGCTCCGGA